ATTTTGGAGTTTCACCACCCTAGTGATATGAAAAACACTAGTGAAAAACATATTTCACGACTACTACAGGCCGCGAATATCGCGTCTTTCACCAAGTTTTATGCCACTTCACGTAAAACGGATGGTGAAACTCCAATGTAGTCGATGATGTGGGTATTTTCCCACACTGTCAATTCTTGCAAAAAAACACTCTCACCATAGCCGAACATTTTCTTCATATAAGAAGGATCTTCCTTCCTCCCAGAAGACGTCCCCTCCCTAGGAGATCCTCGTCCCGGCGTCAGCGGCTCTGGTGGCGATTCAGCAGATACCAATGACGTCGGGTCGGCTGAGCTCGCTATAGTAGGCAACCACCTCCTCCTTCTCACGAAGTCGTATCTATTGCACGATTCTGCCAAACGTGAAAGCAATGTTTAATCCAGATGAATATACAGCAATACATTGACGATTCCTCCACAGTAGATACAGTGAAAGATCGTGGCAAATCGGCATAGGTAGCGTCATTCACCACTCGTGAATTCTTAAAGTTCTTTCCCCGGGGCTTTACCATAATACTGTCAACTACGCCTGGTCCGAAGGCCGCCGCTCTCGCTCAAGAAGAATAAGACGAATACATCAGCTATTACTAACGATTGTTTAGCTCAATTGGAACAGTCCTTAATCACGAGCAAGTAATTACGAGATTGTTCAACTCAGGGTGGACTATATGTCCACATCTAATGCATATATATGCATCGCCGAAAAACGCGATGCTTCCTGTTGTTGGAGGAAATATTTATTCGATTTTCCTTGCTCATATCACAAGTTTTCTCACTACACTGAGTGAAAGTATACAAAAACCTACAATTTTTTCCCAAAAAATTTCTTCGGAAATTCCATATCATCACAAACACACGTAGTGGACCCTGTGCACATTTTACCCCCAAAATAAACCGTCTCACTGATATTCCACGACCCTTACCGACTATACGAGGGTTTCCACGTCGACGCTCCCCACCGCCACGCGTATCTCCAACCGTTATCATCAGTGCCACCCGGACCAGGCACGACATCGATCCGCCATGTTATCTAACGAAAATATGTAATAAGAATTTGTGAAAGAAATTTGAAAAAGGTGATCTTTTCACGCACGATTATATCCATCTACCACAAAGGTATTAATATCTATCGGATGGCATGCCTATAATAATTCTTCGTGGATAACAGATAATTACGTACATAGTCATCCTTGCACTACCATATCTAGAATATCTTATTGTTTCTCAAATGTGTGAAACCCGGCAATAACACCCGAGAAAATACGCGAAACCCGAAAACCCGAACCCGAAAACCCGTTTTGACTCACATTCGAGCTCGACGTTGGCGGGTCGAGCGCAGTTTTCCCAGCAGCATCACTCCATCTAGGGCGATCCAACACCAATAAGTTCACCGGCGAAAACGTTTTCCCTCCGAAGAGTCGCCTTTGATTCTCCCAAATCTCCGATATATACCTAAACTCAATGAGAATCTGCCGCCTCTTTTTCATTATCGAAAATTGCGCCTTCTCCCATAGCAGTGTCGCCGGAAAATATAAACATAATCAACTACATATGTTGGTGACAATATGAACTAGGGAAATTCCTATATTCGGAATTATAGTTTGGAAACTCCTAAGTTCAGCTGAGAAAAGTGAACATATATTCCTCCTCCAACACTGCTGCTATCGAAATGAACTCACTCCGTATCTTCAATGCCTTCAGCCTGCTCCTGTTCC